CTTAGTCGCTCATCGCAGCTAAGTCTACCTCGATCGACCTCATCGTTCGGACAAGACAGTCCTTACCTTGAGTGACTTCTTAGACATCCGTCTACCAAGTCACGTGACACGCGCGTACTGTGATCACTGCCGACTAGTCGTCGCCAGTATCACTTGCTATACCGGATCCTTCCGGTTACGTCACGAACGTTAGCGGACGACGCCCCTCTTAGGGCTCCGCCTAACAGATCTATTTGAGTGCGTAACATTGCATGGTCCAAGGAAAGTAGAAGTGGCGTGTCCCAACTCAGACAGCTGATAATCTGAAAATTCAACATATTCATGATTATCATCTGAGCACAATGCAAGAAGAACGAAAAATAAGAACCAAGAACTGACCATCATCATGATCGCAGACTTGTGCATTGGGCATGTATGGCCTGTCGAAGTTCTACCAGTAGCATGTCCGTCAGCGTAAACTGTCTAACTAGATTATGATATATGTACACAAGACAATTTGGAGTAGCATTGGAGTAGCATGTCGAAGCCCAGGTAGCCGATAAAGAAGATATCAAGGATACACGAAACCAACTGATCATCTGTCTGAACAAAAAGAATAACCATAATTCATAAAACCCAGATGGCCGATGACACCATGACATTGAAGAGGTTATCATAGCAGGGGATCATCAGCCACTGAACGAACTAACAGAGAGTGAAGGGCCTGGAAAGGAAAAGGAAAAGTAGCGCATCTGTGACCAGGTAGTTAATAGAGGAAGAAAAAACTCAATATAATGTGTGCGAGCACAAAGAAAGATGGGAAAGAGTGGCCTTCAGAGCGGTAGTAAAATGTTCCTGAGCACGAGGAAGAATGTGCTGGGAGGATCTGTCACAGGAGAGTCTCATATATATACTTGAGTACTATGTCACAGGCAGACCAAATATGACAGTCGTTCCTTTGGCTTCGATGACATAGTGCCTGTCCATCACGGTCGAGCTTCACGCGTGGGTCGATTCTCCTCTTCCATGACCGATGCGGGCGATGTAACAAGAGAAATCAGTGGCACAGTATTCCGAAATTAAACTCTGGTTCACTACATAGCTATAGCTATAGTAATTACGGTTTCTGATCTCCCTCAAATATTTCTTAACCTGTAAAACGCAGCCAAAAACAAAGTTCCTTGAAGGACGAATGATACCTACTTTCTGGAGAAACTGTTCCATTAGTCAGCACTTGCATGCCTACAGCCGCAAGTACCTTTGGAACCTCCAAACAGGTATCGTGGGATGCTACGGAACATGCAGCTTCCCAGAACCCTGTAGTATGATTCCTGCCATCTGGAATGGTCGGGATGACTTGAGTAACACGACAAGTATCTTGCTCGTTCCTTACAAAAGCTGGGTATAGACCAGGCATCACTGACAAACAAGAACTTCATTGACAAACAAATGTTGCCTACTCCCAGCGTGGAGGTCGGATGCACAGTATGAGATGTTCCCCTTTTTGGTCCAAAACATTAGTTCTGTCGCACTTTCTGGATGTGCGAAATACTCACGAAATAGTAGAAGTACTCTTGATACTCCAGTTGCCACCGTAGTGCTTCAGAACGACATCGACAAGCTCATCACCTAATATATGATTCAGTACCAAGCCACTGCACACCACGACTTCATACCAAGTGCTTTGTTTTAGATTTAGCGTAAGGATGACTGGAATGAATGGTAGAACAAACCGGGAGTAGGAATGGAGGCGAGGTGAAAGGGGGAGCCAGTCTAAAGTTGAAACATTGTCATAGTTAGTAGTTGGTAGAATCCAGTGTACGTGGTGTAAACAATATTTATATTTACAAGCTGCTGAAGTCGACGTCAAGTGCATGACGGAAATGACCTTGATATATGATTCAGATTTCAATTGAGCTGACATGGTAGAGGGCTGAGTGTGTCGTGGAGAAGACAATGTATTATCATAGGCCACAGCTGGTCGAATGGAAAATGATATAGCTGAGCCGCTGGACCTGAAGGCTAAGTGTCACAAAAATGAAGTAAAGTATGCCGTGCAGCCAGCAGCACAAGGTAGCTGCATAATCAAAGCCACCAGGGTATATAGGAAAGCAAGAGCTGAAAACGGTATATCAGAGCGCATGTATCAGCAAAAGAAATTTTGAAAGAAATACGGTAGTCCATCCGTCGTCACTCGCTCGCTCATATTCTCTCGGTGTAAGGCGACTTCACCACCAGTGAATTGTACCTGCTGCCATAAGAAAGTGCATATATTGCACCTGTCACGGTCCCGTTTGCAATGTCAGAGGTATATATCAGGATGTGGTGTTTGTCATGACTCACGACTGACTCCAAGTGTCAATTAGGTAAGCATTCAAGAAGCTGCAATTGACTCGGAATGAATATTCTTTCAACTTCTGAGGTACACTGGAGTACTAGTACCTAGACTCGTAACCAGTCTGACTATGCATCAATTTGAGATGGTGAGAATTTATTGATGTAGTCAGACTGGTCCAACTCGGAGTGATTTGGCAGGTGAAGCAAGGAGTTTGAAATTTGGCAGATGCCGGTATGCCGCTTTGGGGTAACATCACCGCAACTCTTTTGTTTGTACTGTGAAAAGTACAGTATCCTCTCAAATACAACAGTACATCATGCTGGAGCACTAATAATTGATTAGGATAAACTGCTCGAACTCCTGAACCCATTATTTACAAGGACAAATTTAATGCCTTGAGTGAGTGAAAATGTTGTATTTTAGCATACATGATCTCGCTGCAGCAATAAGTTCAAAGGTGACTGACAGTGATAGCTGTCTTGTTGGGAGAAAGGAGTAGAGGAGAATCATAGCAAGGGTCTTTCCAGAACCTGTCGCAGCTCAAAGTACAACGTGTTTCGCAAAGTCCGTTGGGAGATTCTCAATTGTATCTTGAGCAGTGAGCGATAAAGGTCGTACAGAACTCATGGTTAAAACTTAACATAGCGTAGTACAGTCTGAGCGAGAGCAGATGCATAACTTGTGCTATATGATCGTAACTACCTCCAGCACGACCGGCACCTATCAAATTTCAAACTCCTCGCTCCGCCCTGCCACGCCACTCCGAGATCGACCAGCCTGGCTACACCACTCGTGCAACCGTGGTAGTATTAGGCCAGGCTGGTCACAAGCCTAACTAGTACCATTAACTTCAACCAAGGAACCACCATCCAAGTCTAGATTTCAACAACAGTCCATTCTTGTTTGTCTCGCACCCAAACAAAAGAGCTCGCTAGTGGTACAAATGTTGTGCAAGTAAGTAGTGTTGAAAGACAGGCTTTAGACTAGTAGAGCTCGAGCTTAGTGCATGGTTTGCCTGGTATACCGGTGAGTAGTGTCCGGCCCTGGGAATTCAATTCAGGGCTTTATGTAATTAACACTTAGGTCCTATTTGGCCAACAAATATTCAATTGAAATTTGCATTCGATCATGTGACCTTATGCTGAACCTCGGGATCCGGCTCGATCTACTATTAAATGCAATAAACATATATATGTGCTTTAACTGATAATCGATGATTGATAACAACTTTACAACAACCACTATGACAATGCCAGACCAGCCTGACAATGCGCATGTCCAAGAAGACTGCATGCGACGTTTATTGCTCATACTATGCCTCGCTGTCACCCAGGTACTCATTTACCATCAACAAATGTTCCTATCTTCTCGTGAACGTGTATCCTACCACACATCAGCCTTGTCGGGCGAGGCATGGGTGTTAGAACTCATCACAGGCCACCCAGATCGCATCTGACACAATCTTGGTGTCAGTCTCGACATCTTCGACAGTTTATTGCATGTTCTCTGCGCAAATGGATTTGTGCCATCTCGCAATGGAGTTTCAGTGGAGGAACAATTAGCAATATTTCTATACACCTGTGTAACTGGACTCTCGACTCGCCTCATTGGAGAGAGATTCCAGCGCTCATCTGATATGATTTCGTGGTGAGTCATGCTGGCATCTCAATCGTTCACAGGATGTTGACCACTGCACTCTCGAACTTGTAGATACTTCAAACATATTCTGTTTTTCTTATCTAGTCCCCTGTTTTATTCTTCAGAAGTTCGGTTCCCCACAGCCAATACCCCCACTTCCTCAACAGTATTAAACGACATTCATTTGCAATATTTCGACCAATGTCTTGGCGCCATCGATGGCTCCCACATCCGGGCATTCACAAGCATCGAGGATCAACAGTTCATGCGGAACCGCAAGGGGTTCATATCTCAAAACTGCCTTTCATGTGCGACTTCAAATTTTTATTCATTTATTCACTCTGTGGGTGGGATGGTTCTGTTGCTGATGCGGCACTCTGGAATGATGCACACATGCACGATCTACCAATTCCACCTGGAAGATACTTTCTGGCTGATGCCGGCTTCGGAGCATCTGATGCACTACTTGTTCCATACCGCAGTGTCCGGTATCATCTTAAAGAGTGGTGGCAAGCCAACCTCCGGTATGTTGAGTACTATGATATTCACAAGCTCCAGCAGTCCCTGATGATGATCTCAGCCCTCAGAATCCAAAAGAACTATTTAATCTTCGACATGCAAGGCTCCGCAACATAATCAAACACATTTTTGGCGTGCTTAAGCGCCAGTGGCGAATTCTCCAACAGCCGGTTGAATATAGTATGGATGTTCAGGCGCGAATCCCAGCAGCGCTATGTGCTCTGCACAATTTCATTCGCAGACGTGATCCTAGCGTATACGACGAAGAACTTGATCATGCAGAAGGTGAAGAACTTGAAGATGTAGCATATGGTGAGTTAGCAGATGGACCTGCAGATGCTGCAGAACAACGACGAGCAGATGTGCGTCACGACACAATTGCACGTGCAATGTGGGAGGACTATGTAGTAGAATGCACGCAGCATTGATGCAGTCAACCGGCACTCAAATTGTAGGCATACAACATTGATTGAAAGATATGAATATTACATGCATGTGATCACTACTAGCTACGATGATTACGACTTTATGACTGAGTTGCAGTATGAATATCAGCAAGCCACCCCTGCACCCACAATGACTGAAGGTTCTCATCCATATTAAGAAACTTCACGACATGCTCGTCATCTAGTCCAAGGAAGTCTATAATGTCAATCCTTTTGTCACTAGATAGTGTTGCACACTGGGAGACCATGGAGACGGCACGGCCAAAGTCCTCTGCGGAAGCTCTCGCAGATGTTCTGGCATATGTTTGCCGTATCTCCTCCATGGTGGTCGTGAGGTTATTCATTGCCTTGTTACCATCTTGCTGGGCCTGTACACTTGCTGAAACAGGTCGAGACCGCTTTGGTGCACTCATAGCAGCCTCTGAGCCTATTGCACTAACTTTGCGCTTATCTTGGCGACTGACACTCGTGAGCACCGAGGACGTAGCTCCCGAGCCAGTAGTAGTAGTCTGAGCCGCAAGAAAGGTGGATGGGACAGCGGACGATGATGGTGGAATGTCTTGCGGCAAGCCACTAGCAGACTGGATGTGAGATGGAAGAGAATTGATTTCGTTGGCAGCCGCAGTCAGCTGGCTGAGGTTTAATGCAGTAAGTGGTTGCGGTTGCGGTGGCACAGTACTAGCCTCAGGAAGAGCTACAGCAGGGACAGCAGAAGATGCAGTGCCAGCAGGCTGGCGGGGGTTATTGCGGTGGACCCAAGTGCCCTTGCTCTTCCTTGGCAACATCTGATGGATGGCGTCAAAATGAGGGAATCCTGTGTTTTTGAATGGGCCTGCGTTCTTATGGCTCTTTAAAACAATATATTACTCGAGTATTACTAGTACAATCCACTGCCATTGCGCACCTTGAGAAAGTTTGTCCATGTAGATTCATACTCCAAAGTAATCCCTGCGCCATCTATATCGCTCCACGCAAACCCAGATGCATTCTTGATGTCCACAACAGTGTGATAAGAACTTTTGAGCTATGGTGATTGATGTCAGATCAATATAGAAAAGAAACAGCGCTGCATGCCAGGCAGATGGCATGCAGCGCATGTGCCACAGTGACTCACTTTTGACCATCTAGTTTGACAGCTTGATTGTGTTTTCTCGCCACCCAGTTGCTCAGGAAACCTCTCCTTGAGATGAGCGGCAGCACCATGCCAAGCTTGCTTCTTGAAGTTTGTCCCATCACCGGGAATGTGGAGGCGAAGGTATTCAATCAGAGCTAGTGATGGACAGGTCCGGTTTGGTCCGGTTCTCTAGGAAATTCAGAGAACCGTGGACCAGACCATCGATTTAGTTCTCTCAGTAAGCAGAACCGTGGACCGGACCATCGGTTCGGTCCGATAATGGTCCGGTTCCGGTTCAGCAAGGGTTTGAACCGAGAACCGGACCCAAAAAATGTCAAACTTCATATACATATCTTAAGTACAAACGTTCCGTCCCATAGTCTCGTATGTAAGTTGATTTCTGTCTCGACTCGATGTTTCATATAACTCATGCATCTTTAGGGCCATTTGGCTCGCATTCTCGGCCACTATTGCTATGTCCATTTGACTCTCGACAGCGCCTTGAAAACTCACTCTGAATAATCAGCCCGATTATTTTTGCATTGCTATAGGTCTTGTACTGCTACGAGCATTGAGTAAATCTCCAACCCCCGTGAGCTTCCTAACATCCACTTGTTCAAGTCAAGGAATTCGGGCAAGTATTCGTTTGAAATGTCTATTAAGGTGCGTGGTCTACTTAGCATCATCTATTCACTGCAAATGACATGTTTTAGTGCTGATGTCAGTGCCCAGTCAAGTCTGCGTCCACTATGTAGGGAGTAGGTGAGGTTGACCTAGAGGTGGTGAGTCTTTCTACCCTTTTTGTCTCATTTGCTAACCCACTGAACGTTAGTATATCTAGTATGAATGCTGTCGTTATACACCACAATTCCACACTCACTCACCCATCCCTCAAACATGACCTTCGCCTCGAATGATCCCAGTTACTGGCTGTATATCGATTTGGATATTTTTGTCAGCTATTTGACAGGTTTGTCCCATCAAGAGGTCTGGATCCAACATTGACTTGCCGTTTCGCAGTTGCCGCCGGCGTCGTGGTGGTATACGATTGGGGTGAGCAGGACAGTGTTCGAAAATTGCTGATTTTCTCATGATATTTCCAGTCTTAACACTCGGACAAGAGGTACGTCGATGTTATCGCCGGAGCAGCTATCTCACTAAGAATGATGTGTTAGGACAGAGACAACAATGGTCTCTCATGACTGTGCTGTATTTGACTGTCATCGTCATCGACGATGAGCGCAGCCGTGTTACATAATATGCACTCCGCACTGCGCCTGGCCCATGTAAGTCTGGAGATCGAAATTTTTGTACCATCCCTTATTACTTGACAATCAGTTCGAACCTGTTCAGATCTGTTCGAACCAGGTTCGAGAATTCTGCAAGTCCTCGAACCGTGGACTGGACCGACGGTTCGGTTCTCCCTTTTGCCCAAACTTTGAACCGGACTTCGGTCAGGTTCGAAACGGTTCGGGTTCGAACCGTGGTTCAGGACCGGACCTGGCCATCACTAATCAGAGCAGTATCTTCATCTGTAGTCCACTTGGCAGCTTTTTTGCGACATGTGGTGGCAGAGTTGTTGGCTTCAACAGGTCCTTTAGACCGAAGGGAGTGCCCTGATCCCGTACTAGATGAGTTAGATTGTGGCATGATAGTGGGAGTAAACGACAACAAGCAGAGTGGCACAATCCGGGATTCTTCCGAGGTTCAAACGTAAGGTCACATGATCGAATGCAAATGCGAATTTCAATTGAATATTTGTTGGCCAAATAGGACCTTAGGTGCTGTTCGGACGACAAATTCTAGGTTTGAAATTCCCGGTTCGAATTGCACGTGATGGCCGCACATGAGCGGGATCACCCGCTACATCCATCGCCATCACCATCTAGATACATACCATCGTCGATATGTCTGATAAGTCCAGTGCTAGCTCGTCACATTCGCTACATTCTCGAGGCACTGTCGATGTGGTATCAGCCGCTGCCTTTAGCGCAACCCGCAAGCCTCCTGCCATGTGGACAAAAGCAGAGGAAGGCGCCTTTCTGGACTTCCTCCTGCTTGCCCTACCTTCGTCCGGAGATGGAGGCTTCAAGATGCCTGCCTTTAATCAGGCATCCGCCAATCTTAAGCTCAAATTCCCACATCAGAGAGGCGCAGAAAAGAGTGGTCTAGTTTGCAAGACCAAATGGCAAGTGGTATGTTTCTATTAAACCCTTTCAGCCGCCAGCAATGTCCTTACATGTTTTTATAGCTAAAAAAAGCATACCACAGCGTTATCAAAATCAAGTGTACGTCGGGCTTTACGTGGAGTCACAAGCACGGAGCGGGTATTATGGATAGAAAAGACGATGTTTGGGCACGCTTTGTCAAGGTACGCATTATGATAGATTGCACGCTGCCACCCCTTCATGACATTGTTTTCAGACACACCCTCATGCGAAGCCCTTCATGATGAAGGGCTTCGAGCACTTCAAAATCATGGAACAACTGATTCCAAGCAAAGCCAAAGGCTCGCATGTATTCCGACCCACTGCCACCAGCAATGTGCCTCAGGATTCTACTGCCTCCACACCACCTTTGATCCCCACCGCCTCTACACCACCTTTGATCCCCACCACAATCGATAATGCCACTCGGGGGCCGCCATCGTCAGTAGATCCCAACTCCCTCGAAGTACCTCCTCCCTCTACCTTCCTCTGTCCATCCACCAAAGGTTCTACCGACTCGGTATGGACCAGCATTAGCCACAGAAAGTGCAAATTCAGCGCTATTGCTCCTGGATCTGCTGCAAGTTCCCAGAAACAGAGTCGGCCGCCATCTGCCACGCTGTTAGTGCAGCAGGAGGGTACCGAAACGATGAAGAACCTCGTTGAGGTTGTGCATGAGATGCAGAAAAACCTCGTATTAGCTCCACTGCAACCGCCGGTGCAACCACAGCCCTCCACGCACGTTGGGAGGGCTATTTCTTTACTTAATATGTACACGGACCTTACCAGTAAAGAGCAGTTAGCCATCACGAACTTTTTAGCCAAACACAAAAACCAGGCCATTATTTTTTATTCGTTGGACGAGGTGACGAGGCTCAAGTGGTTGGAAGAGAAACGAGTCCTTTGTGGTGGTGCGCCACGAGCCTCACAGAACCATATGACTATGTTGTAGCATGCTTGATTGTTTTCCAGTACAAAATTTGTATAGTATCTGTAACTACGGCAATGGGAGACCCCTTCGTTTGTGCTCCTCGAGATAATCAGTCCACATTGCGAGTGCAATCGCCTCTCGACGAGCATCCGCTCGTCTCCACTCAGAAGTATCTGCCGGTCCTTCGGACAGCGTCCCATGTGCTACAGTGTCGTCCTCCGTGAGATCATACTCGTGGTCTAGAGTGAGATCAAAACTGTCAGGATTGTACCTTCGTGTAAAGTTATGAATCGCGCATAGCGCGGCTGGGATCCGGGCCTGGATATGCAGGCTGTATTCAGGCGCAATCGTCAAAATGTGCCATTGCCTTTTCAGAACACCGAATATCCGTTCGACGATGTTTCGTAGTGCCGCGTGTCGAAGATTAAATAATTTCTTAGAGTCGCGTGGCCTATAACAAAATTAATAGCAAATCAGATATGTACAATAAATAAACTCACGCAATGTTTGCTTGGCGCCATTCTTTCAAGTGATAGCGCACTCCCCGATAAGGTACTAGAAGCGCATCACAGGTACTGAAGCCCGCATCAGCGAGAAGGCACCTGTGTTGAGGTATGCGCAAATCGTGAGAGCGCGCGTCGTTCCAGAGCGTCGTGTCAGCGACTGAGCCGTCCCAGCCTGTGAGTGAGTACATAAAATAAAAGTCCAGGTCGCATATAAACAGGCAGTTTTGCGATAAAAACCCCTTCCGGTTACGCAGGATAGTGTGGTCTTCAAGTGGCGCGAAGGCCCAGATGTGAGTGCCATCGACGGCACCGATACACTCATCGAAGAATGTGAATCACGGGTCTGCATGTACTGCCGCGGAAATGGGAGTATCACTGTTTGGGAGTTGGACATTGGAGGTGTAGAAGGGATGCGACGAGAAGAACACAAGCATCCGTTTGAAATATCTGCAAAAGTTAGCACAGTATTAGTCTCAAATAATTAATGTACTTACCTAGTGATCGTGTCGGGAGAACGTTGGAATCTTTCTCCGACGTGACGAGATGATAGTCCGGTAATGCATGTGTACAGAAATATACCAAGTTGCTCGGCGACGGTGACGCCGTTGCGTGATTGAACGAATCCATGTTGGTGGAGAGTGTCTAACAATTGCTCAAACGTCTCAAGGTTGATGCCGAAGTTATGTTGAATTTGGTCTGGATGACCGCTGATAAGCTCGTAGACCCAAGCTTGGCCGGTGAGGATCGATGTATGGTATGGAATTTGTTCAGTGTGAGACAAGAACAGGAGGTTGTATAAGTAGGTAATCTGTGCAATGGCAATGGTTATGATGATCACGATTTGGTGGCGTCGACGCTGCGTTTGTGCTTCAAGATCTGGAATCATGATGGGCGTAAGAACAGGACGTACATTTGATCCTACGATTATCTATCAGCATATATCACGTGCGGCCATCACGTGCAATTCGAACCGGGAATTTCGAACCTAGAATTTGTCGTCCGAACGGCACCTTAGTCCTTCCGGTTAGCTTGAGTACTAGTGTCTTAATTTTTTGATTGAGTAACCATTATGTCTAACCAACTTCTATTTGCCAGCCATGGGACCGAATAAAAAAATGCATTTATGTTGACAAGCTTCGAGTTTCGTCGTGCTTTCGTCCCCTCCCCAGTCTTTACTACATTATTGAAATTGAGATGTCATCGAGACCTGACAGCTCGACAGAGGTCTCTTTGGCTACTCCTGACACTCCTTTGTACAGTAATACTAATCACCTTCCTGGGATTTCGACTTCCGAGACAGCAACTCCCTGCGAGTCCTTCATCTACACTTCATACAATTCTTCTCCACTATTACCATCTCAACACTCAGGTCCTTGCGGAGAGGAAATCAAATCCTCGCCTCATTCGAAGAAGGGTGCTGCATATGTACGCCCTGTTCTATTGTTTCTCTCCGTTGTTCTAGTCGCAGCTGCGGTGGTGGTACCAGTCTACTTTGTTGTGATCAAACACCAGCATCATGAGTCGGACATAGCCAAAGGAACAAGTTCTTCGGACCCTTCGTCCGTTGGTTCTCACGCCGGCCCAACTTACGGGGCAAATGGTTCTACGGTCACAACCTCGGACGGATCGACCTTCACATACATTAATCCATTCGGAGGATATTGTGAGTAGATTTGTGCTTGCATGTCAGGAATTCCTGAAACATTTCATATGATATCGCTTTCTTTATTCTGTCGTTCAAGCTGCTGATACAATGCTCACAGGGATAGATGATCCCAATGATCCGTTCAACGATGGTGCGCGTCCTAACTCATGGACGCCACCGCTGAATGAAAGTTGGGTCTGGGGCACAAATAAAGTTTACGGGTAAGTCTGATTGGCATGGTGTAACCTTCTATGAGAGTCTCACATTTATGAGTTTCTAGCGTAAATATCGGCGGCCTCTTCGTTCTTGAGCCATTCATTTCGCCTGCTTTATTCCAAAGATACCCAGAAGCCATTGATGAATGGTCACTGAGCACACTCATGGCCGCAGACACCTCCAATGGTGGATTAAGCCAGATTGAGGATCATTACAACACGTTCATCGTAAGTTCATCACCATGTCGTATGAGACGTTAATCAAATCGATCATCGCAGACCGAGCAGGACATTGCAGAAATTGCCGGCGCTGGGCTGAATTGGATACGTGTGCCCATACCCTTTTGGGCCATCGAAAAGTGGGATTTTGAGCCTTTCCTTGAGCAGGTTTGCTGGCCGTAAGTGATGATGCGAGCACCCCAATTCACGCACTAACGTGTGGTGCTGTAATTTTGTTCAGGTATATTTTACGAGTCCTTCAATGGGCACGGAAGTATGGCCTTCGAGTCAATCTTGATCTTCACACAATTCCTGGCTCTCAGAATGGTATGCTGTGTCTCCGAAATCACTGTTGGGTAATCTAACTTACTGCTTAGGTTTCAACCACTCTGGCAAGTTTGGGAAGATCAACTTTCTCAACGGAGTTATGGGTGTTGCAAACGCTCAGCGCGCTCTTGGTTACATAAGGATTATTGCTGAATTCATTTCCCAACCTGAGTGGAGGAACGTTGTACCGGTCTTTGGCATCATGAATGAAGCTAGGGTTGCTGTCATCGGCATGGATCAGATGACATCTTTGTAAGTTCTTGCCACGTTATCTTCTGTTTGCAGTTCTCAGATGATATGTCCATCAGCTACATGCAAGCCCACGATATGATTCGCAACATCACGGGTTATGGGGAAGGGAATGGGCCGTATATTGCAATCCATGATGGCTTCCAAGGTCTCTCGACTTGGGCAGGGTTCTTAGAGGGATCGGATCGGATTATCTTGGACACTCACCCTTATTTCGCTTTCAGCGGTAATTCCAACCCCGCGCCGATAGCGACAGGAACTGGTGTGGATGCTGGTGGAATTTGGCCAGCCCTAGCTTGCTCGAAGTGGGGGACTGAGCTGAATGCTAGGTAATCGCTGAAATTGTGACTTACTATCAAGCTAACACGTGTCTGGCAGTCAAACAGGGTTTGGTGTCACCTTCGCCGGCGAATTCAGTAATGGCTTCAATGATTGCGGACTGTACCTCAATGGGGTGGGGAACGCACAAGATGTGGCGCCGTCATGCTCTCTCTATTTAGACTCATCGCAGTGGAATGATACCATGAAGGCTGGGCTCCAACAATTGGCATTAGCGAGCATGGACGCCCTTCAGGACTGGTTTTTCTGGACCTGGAAGGTAAGCATCGCAAATCTCGACCTTTTCATCGAACAGAAGAATTGAGTGTGTTTCGAAATTATTATCTAGATTGGGCCGTCATCTACTAATACGATTGCGGCTCCACTCTGGTCGTACCAGCTAGGATTGCAACAAGGGTGGATGCCCACTGACCCTCGCATGGCTACTGGGACTTGCGCTGCACTAGGCGTCACCGCTCAACAGTTCGATGGTGTTTATCAGCCCTATCAGACCGGTGGGCCTGGTGCTGGGACAATCAATCCCGTCCTAGTATCCTCGTATGGCCAGTATCCACCTAAATCCATCAGTGGGCTTACCGCGGGAGCTACACAATCTTTTCTTCCTACTTACACGTCGACAAGCGCCATCCCGACCCTGCCGCCGCCTACCTTTACTCCAAGTCCTCCGAGTTCGGTCATCATCGGGAATGGATGGTTTGATTCATCTGATACTGGTCTGGCTGCCACAGAAGTCGCTGGATGTACATACCCTGATGCATGGGATGCCATCAGTGTTGCAATGCCTACTGCCCTTTGTCCTCCCACCGCGAGTGCTGCTGCCAGCGTAGTTGTCACCTCTGTCCCTGCGCTCGCGACTTCATCTTGATTACCGACTCCAGGACCTTGGGCATTCCTACTGGCGCAATAATACTGTAGATATTAGCAAGCGACTCCTGAAATTCCTTAGTTAGATAAGTACATTACCTTAATACATCTAATGTGAGATTCGAAGGCCAACACCCGGCGATTTCATATTTGATTGGATCGATGCATTGCACTAGCTAGCTAGGTTCTCGCGCGGTGTTGACTCGACTACTCATTTCAATTTTTCATATCGTCATCTGCCTGATCTTCTTGAGTAGTCTCATGACGCTCTTCTCAAGGAATTGAAAGAACCACCAAACATCTCTCCCACCCACCAATACCCATCGACCATAGAAACATAAAAGCGTGAAGTCACATTCTGCAAGTCAGTTATAGCATAAACGCAGGACATCCTCTACTGATGTTGCTCGGCAGCTCTGCGAAGATCCACTTTAAGTGGTATCTGTAGATTTTGGGGTCTTGAAGCAAGGATAGTAAAGTTACATGCGATAGTTCAAGCTTCAAATGTTCAAGTCTGAACCTATGGCGATTGTTCTACGTAATCCATCTCGTCAGAGTGATCGTACATGAACAAATATAATTAACATGCAAGGTACACGGTGCCGATAGCTCCCTTTCCAACTACAATTTTGTTTTCTTCTTGTGGGGGATCAGCTCCGGAGATTTCAATGTCAATCAGTTCTCTTGTCCCCCCACATGTCGCGGCCAGGAGGACGAGCGGTTTCCCCCCGTCGAAGTAGCACTCCGATGCCCCTTGCAACAAGACAAGTTTTCCATCCATCTACCCGAAGAATCTCATATGTCATGGAAGTGAGAGATATAGCTCGCTCGTAATCTGAAATACAGCATTGTTAGGAGTATCGGAATAGGCTGCACATGTCAGATACCGTGCCGTTCCACTATTTTTTCTTCCCTCCCTTGCCTTTCCCACCAGTCTTTCCTCCGTGCGATATGGCGGCAGAAACAGTGCCACTTTCAGCGCCAACAGTTGCACCCTGGGTTGCACCACCTCCTGCACCCCTCCGTTTTTTCCCTTGTGTATAGCTAGTTCGTTCAGACTTCTTCAACCATCTTTCTGGATCCGGCGGGGGCGACACGCCTGGTATGATCCCCTTCGGCACACGTTTCGTCCGCAATTTCTTTTTGGTTTCCACAGCCTCCGGCTTTTTCGTAGGTTCTTCCACAGGAGCGAGAATCGAAGCTGGTTGGGAGAGAACAGGTGGTGGCGCAGATTCTAACGTTGAGGCGATAGAGCTGGGGAGTTGAGACATAGCTTGCATAAATGTAGTTGTGATGAAATCCTGGTGCGATTGGGAGGCTGGTAGATTGGTGAGAATGTCTGCATGTTCATCTGAAGACTAAGGGCGGTACGTGTACGTGAATGAGTTGTCAACTATCTGGAAAGCGCGCAACGTACATGATCAGCTGTTTCAAGAAGTTCGTTGTAGATGTCCAGGGATGACTGGTACGATCCTTGGCGATAGCTCTGGCAGATGAATCACTTACATCCTGATATTGAAAAGACACGACCAGATGCTTACTAACTGAGCCTCCAAGTGCATCGCGCCTCTTTGCTCTGCCTCTTTCCCAATGCTCTTTATTTCCTTTAGCACCTGGACAGAATCTTCTTCTCGCTGAAGACGATATAATGCGTATGACCGCTCAAATAAACACTGTTCATTTATTTCGGCGATAAGTGTAAGGGCGGTATCGTACTGCTCGGTTTGAAGTAGCAGGAAGAGCTTCGTCCGTAGTGCATCGCGATCGCCTGGATCTAGACGTAAGACTGTATACTTCGTCAATATCGGATCATAAAATTTTTGAAACTGCATCACTGACTCTTATTGCATGTACGAATCGCATTTGTGAAGTGCCCACCATCAACTTGAGCGCAGAGGGAAGTAAACAGACGTTTTAGTCTATCCGTCAGTGGAGCAGGCTGCTGCTTTTGTGGACGACGCTGTCTTGAAGGAGTCTTGGAAGATGTCTGACCTGCCTTGGCTGGGACAGGTTTAGGCGGCATCTTTGGTCAGCGTCGGAGTCGTTGGCAGCGATGAACGAAGTCGTGAGCCACGTGTCACACTTCCTTTCTTGAATTAAATGTGACATAATCAACCCGATTCCCTTCACTGAATGAGAGTATTGTTCACCCGCTACCATCAGACAATGTCGACAAAATTGTGAGCCGTGTGCTATAACTCACTCATTTAGCCTTCAATAATGACATATAGGAAACCAGCAACTGACGCGAAACTTGATACTGACACCCGAGACAAGATGGACGCAGAACAAGAACCAGATTCTCAGCCTGCAAGAAAGCGGCCTCGCATTGACCTTGGCGTCGGCGAGCGCAAGCGAGGCAAGAGCATGTTTGGTATTGTTCTTGGAACGCTGAACAAGGCGAAGATTGAGGACAAGGAAAGGAATGCTAGTGAAGCAGTAAGCATAACCTGTACACGCGTTTTACTCATTGGAATGACGTATATGTTTCTTTTCAGGCTAAAAAGCGTCAGATGATAGACCAGCGGTTGCAAGCTAAGCTTCGCAAAGAGACTGACTCAGTTCGACGCTCTGAAGAAGCCAAGAAGGACAGGAACCTCGCAAATCGAAAGGAAGAAGAACTTCAACTCAAAGATTCAATCGTGCGTTTCACGTTAATATCCTTCATCATTCGAGAGCCAACGACCTTATCTTGCAGTATAAGCTACGAAGAACGCATTTACCACTCTATTCTCACTTCCTATGTACATCTGACGACATCCAGTCCATTGATTCCATGGAAGACCAGCCATCATCAATAACTCTTCTAGCTTTGCCCACACGATCGCACCCTCCGCCTCTCTTTTATTTGCCCGCGATACTCACAGCAGCCCAGGAAGCATTTTTAGAAAAACGTAAATTCAAGGTGAGCTTAGTATCTGTAAATGCACTGCGGTAGATGGCATGATATCTACTTTCGCCATTGCATACATGAATACGGTACTAATATCTGCTACCTAGGTCAAGGAAGCAGCCGAATCCGAATGGTCCACCTTCCGCGGGGAGCGTACTGCCGGTATCGACGAAATTAAGGAGCTCCGACTACGTGTTGCCGATGAGGACGCAAGAAAGAAGAAGGAAAAGAAAGATGAAATCGAGGCAGACGAAAAAAATCAAATCAGCAAGGACGAGGAAATGACCTCTGAGGAGCCTAAGACTTCTGAATCGAAGGCGGAGGAGCGTGACTCTAAGACGGAAGAAAAACCTGAGGAACGCGAATCAAAGACGGAAGAAATGGAGGTAGACGTTGGTACTAAGGAGGAATCAGGCATGCGCGCAGACGATGAAGATGCAGTCGAATACTGATTTAGGTAAGTAAGTCGAAAGTATAAAATTTGTTGGGCATTGATAATGGGCCCTAGATTGAATAGTACAATTGTGCGTAATCATTTGAAGGTGGTACAGTATATTTTTTCTGTTCTAGGACACTCTTGTGCGCTCAACTTGTTGTTCTAGTTGTCACCTGTAGTTCGGTTAATATAATCAGGTGTCAGAATTGCTCATGATAACCGATGAGCCAATAGCTAGGGATGCATTTTCCCAATGCTAGGAGATGGTGTTATGGTGTCTATATCCATCAAGTTCAAAGTTGTTGATATCTGTCTCGAGCCAAGAGGAATAAACCATGATGAGATAATGTTGGCCTTGGCTTGGTAGGGTGATAATCATGCGGCATGGTTCCCGCCACGGTTGCTGTGTCGGTTCCAGTCTGATCGTTGATTTTGGCCGTCCCGGACCCTGAACCCTAAGTACGTAGCTACCTATCTGTTGTGGCGGTCACTGTGCTTACTCCCAAAACAGCATGACAAATGTATTAGAGACGCACAGCAACCTGCCACCGGTGGTTGAATATTACTAACGCCTACATCAAGTGAGATCACACATGATAGGTATTATTGGATACGGTGAGAATGTGCATTATACCGATTGTCAGGCCGCAACATTCTTCCTCTGAACGTGAGACGTTCCTCCAACAATCTCCAGCGTTAATTAAGAGCTGTATTTATCCTGACGTATTTAAGCTGGCACCAAGTATTGTGTGATCCATCTGGCCCCGCGCGTTAAAGTTAGAAGAAATACACCATCATCTTGTTTAGAAACCAACTAAAAAGTAAGTCCACGTGAAGTTAATCATTCTTTCTGTCTTGCTCATTCCGCAGCCAAGATTGGCAGCTTCCTCTACCGGGTATGCATACGCCAGACCGTTTGGTTGTTTGGCCGCTCCGTGCTGCACTGCCACCTGGTACGTTGCCTTGTGCGAGTCTTGCCCGTCACCTTACCTGCGTATTCGTTGGCGCATCGGCCCCAGGATCCTTGCTCTGTGGACCAATCTGGGACTATGCCAACTTTCACCACTCCCGTGCATTACGTGCCACATACCAGCCCTCAGATCCTGGGTCGATAATCCCAGTTTGAAATTATCCTCGTGACCGTTTCACAGGATTCTTCAGCCAATCTGGGGTTTCCGATGATTTCGCCACGAATGACTTTTGGCCTGGCCTGCCGTTAAGCCATACAGCTTGTTTCACTTACGATGAAAACCAGCCATGCCATACCATGCGGGTGGTTTTGAAGACCCTGAGCGGCAAATTCCTTCGCTATTCGCCGATGGAAATGCCATGGCCATGGCCAGCCGGAGAACCTTCCACAGAAATTCCTTGAGAAATCTTGGAAGCGTTCACGGCGAATTAGAGCAGGTACTTGCAATATATCCTGTGAGCGACCAGCCATCATTTTCGGACCCAATGATACAATTGGGGGTCGGTTGAGGATGATGCCAGGTCAGTCGTAGCGGTGATTATTCCCCACATTTGAGGTTCATGAAGAGTTCAGGACATCGAAACATCCATTATGATCCCGGAAATGACACATTATTCTAATCTCAGACGAGATTCGTTGACATGTGCGTATGCAATCGTTGTAACTTTCTAAGAATCAGCTGACCAACTCTGGAAACAAGAAGGTTCTTGACAACATATTAGATGTAAAAAAAAGGGGTATAGCCACTCGCGTTACATTAAACGAAGTGGCGCGAAATGTGAATCTGACGTTATGACGTAGTAGAAAAGAGAGAATGATAGATCATAGCGATGATAGCAAGTGTCACAACTGACGAGCCTATATGTGATTTGCGCCCTGCGCTCTGTGCTCTGCACGAAGGGGAAAATGAAGAACATTGGAAGAAAAAAAAAACGTAATCCCGTGACGAATATGAAAAGCATCAGTTCCTTTTGATCCCGAGATGGGTCTCTCGGACGTGACGCAACGCAGTGTCGCGCCGCATGTCCTGAATGGCTGCATTGCTGCGTTTCCGGTATTCGCAACCTTGCCAACGACATACATTTAGCGCGTTTTGAGCCCCTGAAAGATGACTGCTCCTGAAATGCGTCTGGAATGCATCCAACGGCCCTTCAAATCCACAAGTCTTGTTTTCTCCGACAAGCCAGCCACAAGAGAATATATCGGACCCCGAATGGTGATTTCCGTGGGTATGAAATCTGTTACGACGCCGAGAGTTCTGGCGAGAACGTGGATTACGGTGAGGCAGATCTTCATGTGGTTGGATGAATGGTTGACGATATGAAGGATGACTTATACTGGGATATGAAGACATCGCTGAAGTTAAAGGTTGCGGCTCGCGTTGTGCTCGCTGGCCATGATACGCTTCAGGACAATAGACGGATGGAGCAGGGTGGGACGGTTCACTGCGGTAGGAGGACGACTCATGGTAGGAACTAGAGGATGCATCTGAGTTGGGCGAGGCGTATTGGGACTCATAAGGAGTATAACCATCTGGACACTGCCTGTATATGGGGTACTTGTAAGCAAAGTAACTACTCATAGATGATGACGAGGGGCATACATTTGTTGTGGATAGGATGGCGAGTAATTTGCATCTGTAACCGGAGTACTGGAATGCCAGAATTCGACACCTCCCTGTGCGGTGTTATGGTGCTGGGTATCATGATATCTTAGGGGGTTGTGGACAGGACCGCTGTAGGTCGAGTTGTATTGAAGCCCGTATGTCGCCTGCATGAAATTGGTGGTTGAATAGTAGTTTTGCGACGGAGCTATATTGTCCATTATGGTATGGGTGGTAGTAGCTTCCTCCCTGTGGTAGGGGGGGTATCTGTCGGATGAGACGTTCGATTCCGGGTAACCATTCATATAACCGGTGTGGATGGATGGGTTGAAGGGATGACTCATCATATTGGCGGCGGGGCCAAAAGCGCTAGGTGTGGCACCGCTATTCTGTGAGGTGACAGTGCGCGTTCCGCCAAGGGAGAAGAACCTGCTCGCCCTGGGGATGGCCGATGTTGAGGGATCAGAGGGGGGGGAAAGCCCGAGCGGGACGACTATTTATGGTGTGAGATATCTTTTATACAGAGGAAAAAGTAAACTCACTTAAAGCTTGACATTGTGTTCAGGTGATCGTGATGATATAAACTGTCAGATACTGCGGGCTCATCGTCAGGGGGAGACAACGAGTTCCATAATGTGGAGGAAGACGTTTTTGAGACAGATCAGTGTGATGGGGAAGGACATTCTTAGGACTCCTACCATTCCGATGGATTCGTGTGAGGGGTTTTAACGAAGATGTAATAAATAGTGTAACAGAGTATTGCTCGCTTGGTCTGGAGCGTTAGAAGGAAAAGAAAGAGAAGGGGGGAAGTCAAAAGGGTGCACCCCGAACTAATAAATGACCACACAGCAATAGCCAATTCTCCGAGTTGGGGTACGGGTGGCTCAAGGCCAACCGACCACCAGCCACCGACCACCGACCACCGACCACCGACCAACAGGGTAGATAAATTGGAAGTTCTGTTCTAGAAGACATAACCGACCAAGCCACCATCAAAAAAAACACGATCCAAGGATTAGGAGATCTAAAGAGGGTAATGGATCCGACGACACCCGAACATCGGAACACGCTTTTCGAAGGTAAGAGTCTGGGAAGTGAATCCAGCTGACAAGAGGTAGCTAGTAAAGAGCAGATAATAGCAGTATTTCCTCAGGGATGAAATGCTGCGTCAAGGAACACATGAAGTCAGTGAATGCAGCATCATAATGACGCCTGATGCAAACGAGACTAACATGGCGAACAGAGGCAGCGGGTAAGTGGGAGAAAAGTAATGAGATAAATAAAAGACGCTGAGCGCCGAGCTCTGGTTTATTAGTATGTGCCTACCGTGCGATAAGGGCACGCGAAAGGAGATTTCCGAATGTCGTGATCATGCGAGCAGGAACTGTACGTGAACGTTTGGACTCCATATGGAGGACTATTATCAGCTAATTACTTACTGAGCCACACCGAGAGAAGAAAGAACGGATGAAGGACGTACTAGTTCCTTCTATTTGTGAGACAAGTACCTAATCAGATATTAGCACCACGCACATGCAGGGCTCCTCAATTTCCAAAGGCCCTTTTGAACAAAAACGTAACTTTGTGAAGCATTGGCAACGTGGTAAACCCATGACCATTGTTCCGCGAATAAGTTGATTACTAACCCAGCGCTTATACTACTAGTAGCGGTCCTCTTCGCTTGCTCTTCGCGGCGAGCAAAATAACTGACTTACGCCGCGTATACCTTTTCAGTCTGCTTAGTATCGTTTCTTACTCGGAGAAAAAAACGACCATTTCTGACCTAGAGTTGAAGATTGAACGTTGAACGTTGATTGATCGGCTGATAACGTTCTCGAAGAGAGACTAATGTAGAAGTGTCGATCATCAGTAAATCATTCCAGGAGTATCCAGCGCAGACTGTCAAGTGCCCTAGCAGACTGTTACCCCTTCGTAGTACTTCAGCCGACCGCAAAGAACAAAGTACGTGCAGCGTAACGTAATGACGTAATGACAAGACCTCGAAGAGTCGAAAACTTTGTCAACTTGCCCCCGACTTACCCGACTCGGAGTAGTACGGAACAAAGACCTCTTGAACTTCCAGGATAACTTTTGGGCTTGAATGACAACGACGACTCATTTACACGAAAGTCGTTACCTAAACCTCGACTCAATTTACAACTTGGGTTGTTCACTAGTACCATCTTTGTTTGTCCAGAATATCTGCCACCTGCGCTTATCTAAGTCAAGAATTTTCATCAGTGCATACACCCTCCACCGCACCAAATTACTTGCTTCTTCTCCGGTGATTGAAGGTGCGGTTTTGGTACCCACACCTTCATATGACCACAATCGTTTTTTGCCAAAGCCCTCCCGCCTTCCCTCCACCAAATTCATTATACGTTTTTCTACCGACAACGCCAGACACGCCGTCACTGAATTATTCAACATCGATATCTCCGGCCTTAACCGCATCTCCTTCAGGTATGCACTGCTCATATCTATCGTGTCATCATCGCTAGGCATTCAAAAACACGAGCCTGCGCCGATACCACCGACGACCGTCATCATCCTCATACTCGCGAACAGCAACAATGGCTTACACGTGTTGTCTGTTTCGGTATCCCTCGTTAAACTTGGACAAGCTTTAAAAAAACGTGAAGACACGTCTTCTTCATTTTCTTTTGCTTGGAAGTAAAACTTTCTTGTGTCTCCTTATATCATGTGTCGTCTTGCGCTCTATCCTTCAGAAACAATGGTCCATTCAACTGACGTTATTTAGTGAAGGGTTGGAACCCGCAAACTGTGTCGGAGAAAGATACGAATCCTTTTAGGTATTATCGTCTTCATTGTCCTAATCATGGCTGTCTTTGTTATCCTACTCATCGAGCTCGCAGTCTTTGCGCACAGCATCCTTTGATGGTCCACCTTCCGCGGGGAGCGTACTGCCGGTATCGACGAAATCAAGGAGCTCCGACTACGTGTTGCTGATGAGGACGCAAGAAGGAAGAAGGAAAAGAAAGATGAAATCGAGGCAGACGAAAAAAATCAAATTAACAAGGACGAAGAACTGACTTCTGAGGAGCCTAAACCTTCTGAATCGAAGGCGGGGGAGCGTGATCCTAAGACAGAAGAAAACGGAAGAAATGGAGGTAGACGTTGGTACTAAGGAGTAATCAGGCATGCGGACGATGAAGATGCAGTTGAATAATGATTTAAGTGAGTGAGTCCAAGGCGCTTTGTCGAGCATTACTGATGGACCCTAGATTGAATAGTACAACTGTGCGTAATTAATTTGAAGGTGGTACAATATATTTCTTTCCTGTTCTGGAACACTCTTGTGCGCTCAACTTGTTGTTCTAGTTGTCACCTGTAGTTCGGTCAATATAATCGGGTGTCAGATTTGCTCATGATGATTGATGAGCCAATGGCCAAGGATGCATTCTCCCAATGCTAGGAGATGATGATATGGTGTCTATGTCCATGGTGTTCGAAGATGTTGCTTTTTGTTCCGGGCTAAGTGGAACAAACCATGACGAGATATCGTTGACGTTAACCTGGTTGGGTGCCAACACATGCAGCATGGTTCCTATCACGGTTGCTGTGTTGGCTCTAGTCTGATCGTTGATTTTGGCCGTTTCGAAGTCTGGACCCTAAGTACGCAGCTACCTCTATCCGATGTGGTCACTATGCTTATCTCCACAGTAGCATATAAATAATCCTAGGAACGTACAATAACCGGCCACTGACGGCTGAGAACCATCGACCACCTACAGCAAGTAAGGTCCCACATACTAAGTCTTGTTGGAGACGGTGAGAAAGTGTAGTATATCGGTCAGGCTGCAAGGATTCTATCCCTGGATGTGAAATGTCTTACAACAGTTTCCAGCGTTAATCAATCTAGCATGATAGTATATAAAGGTTTCTTGCAGAACGCTTCACCTGAATCTTGTGGTCCGATTATCCCGACGCCATATACCAGACCGTAAAGAAAACAACTTATTCGGAGACGAGCCAGAAGGTGAGTTGCAACATATCAAGTTAATTCCATTACTATGTTGCAGCTTCCTCCGCCGGGCACATACACCAGACCATTATATCGTTCGGCCGTCTGGCTTCCCTGTTTCATGTTACACCGCCGCACCTCAGACTGATGGTCATCTATTGGTACGTTTCCTTGTGCGAGATCTTGCACGTATCCTTATTTGCGATTCGTCGCAGCATCCTCACTAGGATTGTCTTTCCGTGGACCAATCGGAGACTTGATTTTATCTATTCCACCACGCTTTACGTGCTGCATGCCAGACAATCTGCTGGATATGAATCTCAGTCTGAATTTATTATTGGAACCGGTTTCAACGGAATTCTTCAAGCGACCTGCAGACCCGCCACAAATGACTTTCGGCCTGGCCTGCCATTAAACGATACAGCTTGGCATGACAGCCAGCCAATTCCGGTGGTTTTTAGAACCCTGAACGGCAAACTCCTTGGCTGGTACTTGAATTTCATCGGCGGAGTGCCTTGCGCAGAAATTCTCAAAGACGTTTCGAGAGAAGTTTCGGAAGCATTCACAGCCAATGTTCACAATAATCCGAGCAACTGGCCGTCGTCTTCGAATCCAAGGATGCTTGAACAACGTAAGGTCAGTCGTAGTGTTGATCATTTCACACCTGTGACGTTCATGAAGGGTTCAGGACATCGATCCCTCCGTTCTGACATCAAAGAGAACGCGCATTTATTCTAATATCAGACGGACATTCTTTTACTCGCGATAGCGGTGAGGCTTGTCATCCGAGGGTAGGCTCGTCGACCTCCAAAAACAAGGCTCTTGACAACCGACTAAAAATAAAATACGACCATATTACACCAAAACATGAACTCGCAGCCGTACTCATTTCGTTACATGACAACAGAAAGAATAGAACGATAGCGATACTAACAAGTGTAACAATACACAACCCTATACGCAACTTGAGGCCTGAGGCCTGCCCTCGGTGCCGAAGGAGAAAGGAGACTGAAAAAAAATGCACAATACGAACACAAAAAGATTAGATATTCCTCTTCCTCTTTATCTTTAGATGTTTCTCCCGGACATGGCGCCACGCACTATCGCGCCGCATGTCGTGGACGGTTGGATCTGCGCGTTTTTGATACTCGCAACCTTGCCAATGGCATCTATTTAGCGCGTTTTGAGCACCTGACAGATGTTTGCTTGTGAAATGCTTCTTTAAATCACCCAGTGACCCTTTAAATACGCAGGGCTTATTGTTTTCGTCAAGCCAGTCGCAATGAAATGTAGTGGACGACGAGCAGGGAGTTTCCTGTGTATAAGTTTTGCGACGACGCCCGGAACTCAGGTAAACGAGTGGATTATGGCGAGAGGGATCTTGTGAGTGAATGGATGGCGAAGGTGCCATATGCAGGGCTGGCTGATATAGAAGACCAGCTGGTTGCGAGCCATGCTGTGTCCCAAAATCAGGGGCGAGTGATTCGGGGTAGGAGCTGGAAGACGCAAGACCTGTATTGGGAGGGACATTTTGCGGTAAGTGAGGCCTGTATATGGGGGTACTTGTGAGCAAGATGGCTACTCGTAGATAATGGTGATGGACGTACGTTGGCAGTGAGCTGGATGGTGGGATATTGTTCCTTGTTACCGTATTGTGGTAGGAACTGTGGAAGCTTGGGGGGTTGTGGAAAGGGACGCCGTAACCCATGTATTGGTTTGTGGTGTTGTGATTTGGTGAGTTAGCAATGAGCGAATTCCCTGTGGGAGCGAAACTCTTGGCCGATGTTGATGAGCCAGGAAAATCAGTCTGACCGGGGAAACTAATCGCGATGTGAGATGTCTGTTATAAAGGAAGTAGTAGTAGACTAACCGTGAATCAAGGATTGGCGTTGTATTCGGATGATAGTGATGATATAAACGTCTAGATACTATGAGCTCGTCTTCGGGGGTCGTCGAGCTCTGCGACATTGAGTGAGACGCCTTTGAGAATGATCAGTGTGATGTAGAAGGATAATTTGAAAAATACTACCATGTCGGTGGCGGGGAGAGGCGAAATAGACATTGTGACATAGTGTTGCTCGGTTATTTGCTGAGTATTCTGGCGTGCTTGTCCTGTAGAATAGCAATGAGGAGATGCAAATATAAATAAGTAGGAACCACTGATACCAAGATTTGAGGCATTCATCGATGGGTAAGGGTGGGACATTATGGTAGAGTATTGGTATTGCTCAGAAGGCTGCTGAATGTGGTGTGTTTGTCCTGTAGGTGAGAAATGGCGAGATGTGATACCGGATATTGGGGCAGTCGACGATGGGTAAGGGGCGGACATTCTGGTAGAGTATTGCTCAGAAGGCCGCTGAAGATAGTGTCTTTGTCCTGTAGAAGAGCAATGAGTATGTGCAGAGATGATGGGTAGGACCCACTGATACCATGCATTTGGGAAGTCGGAAATTGGTAAGGAGGGGGAGGCATCATGGTAGAGAAGCGCTCAGGTAGCTGTCTAATACGATGTGCTTGTCCTGTAGAATGAGGGGATGCAAAGATAAATAGGTAGGACAAGGGAAGGTGAACCAGGTGAGTCTGCGACAGAGGCCTTAAAAGCGGGCAGAACGGCCACGATCAATGCGACCAGCCAACCGAGTAATTTGAACATGTCCTTCTAGAATATCTCCGACCAGACCCAGCCAACGTCAAAGAGGATGCTGTAGCGATTGTCCACGGATAGGCGTATGTTGGATAAAGGGGGAAATGGTGGTATCACCGCCATGGAACACATGTTCTTGACGGGCAGAGTTTAGCATAGTTACTCCGGCTACTAAGAGTCCGATGGAGATCGGAAGGGACGCTGGGGTCCCATAGTTGAGAAGGTCTTCTCCTACATGGGATTTCATCATAAAAAAGGGTTAGCCAGTAATAAACGGCGGGAACTGGAAACTAGGATCTATGTCCCTCGATCGATTGGAAGATGGCGGAGAAACAGCTGAATTTGAAGTTGTGGTACTACACTTAATGCAAATCAGTCAAATTAGAGGTAGCGGATTTTTGTGGGTGATTGTGGGTGGGTAGTACTGTGAGTGGGAGAAAGCAAAGAGATAAAGACGCTGATGAGTCTGGTTATTATGTGTTCAGTCTTGTGATAAGCCTCGGCAAGGGAAAGGACATGTCCGAGCCTTTTGATTGGCATGGGAGTCGGGTCATCGCAGCACAACTATGATCAGCTAGATATTTCTCCAATTTGATTGATCAACGTGGATGAGGCTCAAGGTTTTTTTGTTTAATTTGTGGCGGTGGGCAACTAGTTGGCACTACGCATGTGCCCATTGCTCGAGCTTGATCTAGTTGAAGTGTGTAAGAAGTATCATGTGGGCTTTTGAGAGGTCGTACCTAAAAAGGACTGTTCCTTGTAAATAAGTCTATTATTACCAACCCAGCGTTGGATAGTACTCGCCTCGGCTAAGTTCGCGGCGAGCAATCGGTAGAAAATTAGTAACACCTTGGGGTAGTAGTCATGATCGACGATCGCGGTTGTCCTCGTCTCTTCCTATGTGTAGAAAAAAAACGACTCAGTGAAAATTTCAGTTGGCAATCACTTAAGAGGCGTCGATCATTTAATATCATGGATCTCCAACTCAGACTGACATCGTCATTGCCCACTTACTCTGCGAAGAATCGGTAAAACCATATACTGAACTATCAAAAAAACTAAAATATCAGACTAAATGCCAACGTAGCATACTACGTCTAAACCCACCCATCGAATTCAAAACCAACGCATTATGTCTCTGCCAGTCAAAAATAGATAGCTCAGCATGGAACATGCTCAAGTCGTAAAACCAGGTCTTGGAGATGTCTTATGAAAGCACCAGGGCCGCAGTTTGATCCCTAGCCTAGGGAAGACAGTCCTCCAAAGGAAAGAAAAACTTCCCATCGTACCTTCGACGAAGCTAGAACACAGAGCAAGTTGTATTATTAGTATCGCTTGCAGTGCTCAGGGATCCAATAATGACTTGAAAATGGTTGGCCCAGAGGCCTGAAATCGTGTCTGCGCTTTTCAGTCGATAATATCGATATTGTTATCCCCGGACTGCCTCGGACGGTCCGTGGAAGTTACCGGGGTGCTGCTCTGCTCCTACTAAATTCAGTCCATGGAAGTTCGAACTGGAAGATGGCACCCGATGTTAAGGCCTAAGGCCTAAGGCACCGAGGTATACACGGAATCAATATTGATAGCAAATTGATAATGATATAATTTATGTAAGCTCGACATGACGCGGAGACTGTTTACCCTTATTTATTTACCAAGTATGTATAGCCCTTTTTTATAAATACTGTCCGCTCGGGGACCTAGTACTAGTACGTGCCATGTGAGCGTATATGCGTTTGTGACAAAACATTACTGTGATCCTCGTCCAGGTAAGCGCGAGGACGTTAAGCGCCGTCTTGAGGTGTTTGCGTTTTGTAAGTGCTCATGCTGCCTTGGTTTTACGTGATCATTTGGTTCATGAGCTTTCTGGTCAGAAAGCCAAGGTTGGGAGATCACCGGCACCACAATAACAGTGCGAGCACAGGACTGGCCATGGCCAACACGTCTACCAGCCAATAGGGTAAATTGAAGGTCGTATTCTAGAAGACATGGCCTGCCAATCTGTCATCAACATATTTGAGTGGCGTGTTTGGAACAAAAAAACCAAGGGGCCGTTACAATGTCGCCGGAACATCACAACTTGGTTTGGTTGGCTCCTTCGAAGTGCTTTGAGTACAAAATATCGAAAGACTGCTGTGGTGGGCTACGTTGAATGTGAGGCTGTTAAACTTTGGCCTGCCCATTACATTGAAAGATTGACATCCCCATTATAACGGGAGACTTCCCGTATATAGGCGGACCAATAAGGAAAATCATTTTCCAAATTACGCCATTCGATGAATATTCTATACGAAAAACCAAATTTCCGTAGGTCAACGGAATATCATGCATCCATGCAGATGAATCGATGATATCTTATATATTCAGTATCAAGCATTGCAAAAAGTAATGGACGACGAAGATTAATCTGCACTCAATCATATTGCAGCTGACGTACTGGTGGGAGTCCAGCTGACTCAACAAGAATTCAACGCATCAACAGACAACCACGATGACAATACCTTTGCCGTGCGTAGCTCCGAGCCTTCTCAATCCACGGATGAGTACCTCCTGGTCTCCCGTGGTAAGTTATGAGACTGGTGATCATTGATATTGTTCAAGTTGACGAGGAAATCTGAGTCTAGTTGTGGGCAGAAGCCACAAGTCCGCCAGCCGGTTCTACCAATCCGGTTCTGTCCGACGAAGCCTCATGCGGCAGAATACGGCAGAATGAGGCAAATGTTGACAACAATCTGGATGGTACTATAGCTCAGTACTCAGTACTAGTCCGGCAAACACTGTCCAGAGTCCAGATACTCTTTGCATCCAAGGTCGCGACAACCAACTCCCAAACTATCTTATTCACACAAGTGTAGAACATGCCAGATTCTCTTCGTTACCATAATCATCAAAAGGCCGTGGTCAATGGAAAGCGTCATGCATACATGCACACCAGTGCCCAGCCTGGCATCAGCATCGATGTAGCTGCTGATTAGAAGCCAATTTTACATGGGCACCACCAATCGCACCTCAGACTCAGAACATCGATGATGATCTTGTGCCATAGGTCCTGGATCCATATCACTTGATGGGATCGATGCAGCTTTTGCCCTACAAGCCTGTCGACCAAAGTTATTCCACTCGAATCTGTTGACAAGATCATGGTCGGACGATGGACAGTAAAATGCGGACATGCTAAAACTTTTTACTTGGCCTCTTTACCAACTCCTTCACCATCTGCTCTTCGGGCCACACGACTTGAATAACACTCAACCCAGTTCCACTCAAATATTTGCCTGCCATTGGCCAACTCATGAAAGTGTTCATGGCCTGCTTATCTTCAACTCCAATGACAAAGACCCTCGAGCCCGACTTTTTATATCTCTAGCCAGATCTTTCTGTCATACTTACACTGATTAGACTTGCCACACTGGTACTCAACGCGTACTCTGCTCTTGCAGAAGGTTGGATGGTGTGTAAGCCAAGAGCCCTAACCAGCGATATGGAAGGTGGTCAGTACTATAGTGGTTGCCGAATGTTTCATTGAACATTAATGAAACACGCAGTCAACATGCATAGACGGTGTGATGGGTCTGCCTGCGCAGACTGCGCCGCAGAACATTAACACTTCCATCTTTCATATCAGGAATGCCATGCCAGTATCACATACAATTGCAGCTGTGATCGCTCGATTATATGCTCACAATAGGAATGAAACGAAGCAATTACAGCCACAGTGGTCTCACCGAAACTTCTACCATTTTTCGAGAGGGGCCATGCTGACCGGCAACTCGGAAGTGAGACGCTCGGCCTTACTTTTCGGCTGCGACCGGCGCTTGAGCTGAAAGGTGTATGATGTTGACAGTAGACCAATCGTGATGTAATTAGTGTGGTCAGGTCGTCACCCAAATGTTCGTCGTCGCGCGCGGTGCTTGCAGTGTGGGGAATTAAGTTCGCCTTGCTGTGACGCTAACGGTGGGACTTGGGTACTACTAGTGCGTCTTCGCCATCGTCGTGTATTGCAGTGTTCCGAATAGCCACAAGCAGGGCCGCATGGGGCGATACAACTTGAAGGCGCATTACGCAATGTACATTGCCACGACTTCCATTATTGAATATTGTAACGTCGGACTTTTCATGCACGCTAACTCCTCACATCACGATCAACTTCGTATGTAATTTGCATGTTCGACTCTGCATTTTCTTATGGGTGTGAGCAACAAAACGTGTCTTGAATAGTTGGACTATCTCCGTGAATGCCCAGCATGCGAAACCATGAGGCTGCCATATGTTGATTAGTCGCTAATAGGTGCAGACTTTTATTGTCTTTCGCACGTAAAACTGATATTAATGTTGCACGTGTCTAGGTGCATGCCTACAATGATTCCAGTTATCTAATCGTGGGCAGCATGCTTTTCATTTCTGGGGGTTGCCAGCTGGCATAGGTTCACGACTTCCCCGGTTATTGGCATCTACCTTGTAGGTTCGGCCGGTCAAGGCTTTGCTCATTAACGATCTTTGCCTTAGTTCTGCTGTGTAAACCCTTCTATTGCTGCCTACTAAGGACTCTTCTTTGTACTGCATTGGATCTGTGCTTTGGAACTGGGTGAGCCCTTCGTGATTTCTGATACAAATGCGTGGAAATTTATCTTAACGTGAACGATTAAAGCTCTCCGTGGTCTTAAGGAGGCTCAACCGACTCGTGGTGCTGGTGAGGCTGGATCAGGCTCTCCGGCATGCATCAAGTCTTGACCCTAAATAGTAAACGGAGCTTCATTTGTCCTGCGCCCTATCAATTTCAACCACTCGTAAGGCTGATCTATCATCTGGCTATTGCCCCCAAAAAACACAATGCCTACGTTGAGGTCACGATCTTGGCATGATACTCACAGGACGGGGACCTCTTTATCCGCACGGGAGAACTTTTTCGAGTTTTAAGCTTGCCTACTCAGGCCCTGCCGTTAGGAAGCAAGTATACGCATGTACTGTTCAATTTACAGATGGCCATGCTCCCCGTGAGCTTCTATGCATTGGCTCCGTGCTGTCCCCTCCTTGCGTTAGCCAGGCCTTCTCCTTGCTAACCTAATGTGATCTAAGACTCGTCGCTTAAGCAAGTGCAGGCATACAAGCGCAGGGGCTGGCTTCTACCATGATTTAAGGACGAGGATTCCAACTGTCACAACAGAACAATACTCCTCTCCAGCTCCCCACCCCTCACCGACTACCTACTCCCAATATCAACATGACTGACGTTCTTGGTGTTCTTGTCATCGCCCGTAATGGTGACCGCACAGAGTACTACCAGGACCCCAACACCTATGAAAGCGCCTACACCGAAAGCACTGCCCTTGGTGCTGTAAGTCACTGGTGTACGGCCCAAAAATTTCCTAGCTGATGCAGCTTCACTACAGGCCGAGTCTCACCAGCTCGGATCATTCCTTCGATCCACTTACATGTCCTCGTCTTCTCCTTCATACATCGCGGACATGAAAACCGACCTCGTGGACACCCATGAGGTCCACGTTCATGCCAAGGCTGGCGGTGAGGGTCCCGTGGTCTTTGACTCTGCTATCGCCCTCCTTCAGGGTCTTTTCCCTCCCAACCTTGCTAACAAGATTGTTCTTGCCAACGAGACCACCGTCGTTGCTCCTCTTGGCGGTTACCAGTACGTTCCCATTGAGACTGTCGAGCCTGGTAACGACAAGTCCCTTGAGCCATGGACCGACTGTCCGGTAAGCAATACAATCCGGACCTGGGGAACCAGAATCTCACTATGACCTGTAGGCTTTCGAGCAACACATCGCTGATGTCTACTCATCTTCTGAGTTCCGGGAGACCGCAAAGGCTGCTGCTCCTTTCTTCGGTTCTGTCAGGGATTACGTTTTCGGCCGCCCTACTACTCTTGAAAATGCTGTAGGTTACGCCTCTCATTCTTTGATACATATGCTGATTACCTTTATGAGATAGTGGAATGTGTGTGGTCATCTAACTTAGATACCTGATGTCGGGCTGAACTTCTTCTAGATTTACGACTACATGTCGACTGAGCTCTCCCACAACAAGACATACGCTCACCGCCTTCCCCCCACGTTAGTTGAGCAGGCTCGTGGTTATGCTGACTTCCACGAGAACGCCATCTTCTCGGACAAGGATGTCGGTGGTATTGGTAACTGTGAGCCGATTTCGATTCACGTACGCTGTCCACTACTAATCCTGTTGTTGTTCAGTGGCTGGCCGCACAATCCTCCACACGGTCTTGAGCTCCCTCACACGGATTGCATTTAACGGCGACCCTCTACAGTTCCTCCTCATTGAGACTTCCTACCACCCTTTCATCTCTCTATTCCACATGCTTGAGATGACCAAGGAGAACCCTGAGATTGCCGCTATCCGTGCGTATGATCTCACTTCAATGCATTCAGCCGATTGACGCGGGACTACAGCGAACTATGCTTCTGCTCTTGCCTTCGAGCTCCGTCGCGGACCTGCCCCTGAAGACCGTGACTTCATCAGGATCAAGTTCAAGAACGGCACCAGCGGCGGCTTCGAGACCTACCATGCTTTCGGCCACAGGTCTGACATTGCTGCAACGGAATTCATCTACAGGATCGAGGTAGGCACCTGCGCTACTTTTTGAATTTGCTCGTCTCAATACCACTGTTCCAGAACTACGCCATTACTAGCCAGAAGCAATGGGCTGCTGCTTGCAGCGCAGGTCTTGAGGATGAGTGGCTCCACATTGGCACCCAGAACGCGATTTCCAGCACTATCTTTGCCGTCCTGGCTGCTGTCTTCCTTCTCGGCATGTTCATCCTCTCCAAATTCGTCAAGAGCGCCCGTGCCAGGGCTCAGAACACTCGCATTCGCCTTGCTGACGATGAGGTAAGTCGGCCGCACCTATCTCAGAGCCAGTACCCCAATTACGGAACCCTTTCCAACGTCGGTCCTGGTATCGTGCCTTTCTGAATCGTGCTGACAAACTGTCATTTCTTCTTTCTTGTTCATAATAGAACGTCGTCGCTCAGTCTGCTTCCATGAGCGAGAAGCAGCGCCTTCCCTTGTAAGCGCGGGTTTAGTAGGGTCGGAGAGGTTGAAAAATATCTTCACTACGTGCTTCAGCGGGGGGTCGATTTCTTGTTTGATTGGTATTTGGACTGCATCGCATTTTCTCTTTAGACTCTTGCCACATTTTTTCTTCTCGTTTGCAATATGACTGCTGTGTAGTTTACCATATGGGACTGGGTCTCCATAGTTATGAAAATTCACTCATTTTCTCGGACCTTGCTATAACGTTGTGACTCCGGGATTCTTTGTAAGTATCGGCGTATCGCTGCCAGACTTGCCAATGCAAAACACTGAGCGTAACTGTCTTTTCTGGTCCAGCGTTCAAAGTTTGATGAATAATTCAGTCATCTTATCAGGGCGCAGTGCCTACAGACTAGACTCATAACCGGTCTCTACTAATGTTAAGTGTTTGACGTAGTAAGAGGGTAGACCTTGCAATACTTATAGGGAGTCTGCTCGGTGAAATTCAGCCAATTAGCTTGCAGCCACGTAAGCAAATTTCCCTGCAGTACCACGCATGTGGTCATGACTCATATCAGACTTCTCAGAAGCTTGGTTTCGTACTAACGACTTCGACTGACCCGCAGGTATTCATCCGTGTTTACTTCTCAACATGACCAAAATTTCTCGCTGTCACGTAGTATGAATTCGATGGATACTTGGCCTTTCCGAGTCTCTGAGGCAGACTCGACGTCCGTAAGTGCTTCCTTAGCCATTCAGTGTTTTCACATTCTTCCACTGTCTGATGAATCAATTGTATACACTTATCATTTGACACGAGGTCGTTTGGACGCTCGTGTGTGATTGAATTTCTTGCTTTACCAGCAAGATTGATAATCTTCTCTCTGAATCATGTTCATTTTTACTACATGCACTGTGTCTTGACGGGATGCTGACGAACGTTTACCATAGGTCCGGACCATGATAATCTCTGCCAGCGCAACGTGCCTATCATCCCAACATACGTACGGAAATATCTGGCAGTGGTGCGGATGTGGCAGTGATTCAGAGTGTACCTGGCATCCTCTTCGGCACTGTCTACCTGTTTTGGCATCTGCAGAATTTCAGCTGGCTATAGTTGGGCTACAGATGTGTACGATTACGCACCAAATCAATTTATTGCATTGCCTGTAATTTGTCTTGCGCCCTGTCAGACATGTCATGGCCAGCACAGTGCGCCTCGGTTACTCTTAGACGCAACTCTCGCTTGCATCTTCGCCAGTGGCTATGAGGGTTCTGGCTTAGATCTCTTGCCCTGTACCACGTTGTGTCCCCACATTTAGAAAGCTAACCAATAACGGAAGTCCTTCTGATCCTTCCCTGATACACGAGGCAGGGTAGCCGGTTCCGCATGCCCTCGGAGAACGGCTACATATAGCTATCGGCAACTACACGAGCGATCCATTCTATCAGCTCATCTGTTCCCTACACCCAGCACCGATTTCTTCGTGCACTCCCTGCATCTACGCTCGTGTTTATTGTATAACTGCTAGATTATGATGGACATCGACATGGATTCTCCAGTCGGTCCTGTGATCGTGACGGACTACGATGAATCGCATAGCCACGGAATTTCAGTGAGATAACATTGACGCCGAATCAGTTCTCAAGGAAGTTCTGACGCTCGTTATATTATAGGTATATGGCGCCGAGTTCGATCTCTGTGAGCTTCTACAAACACTGACCTTGTCGAAAGGCAAGACCAAGGTAAGCATGATCCCCTCCCCGTCACACATAAGTTTGACTCCGCAATGGAGAAAGGCTCCCGAAAACGATCCAACCCTCCCTGCTGTCCCTTATGCCTTGCAAAGGGCAGGCGAGGACGCTGCAAACACAGAGGATCCAGCGTACCATGTGAGTGCAACTCAAATCTTTGCAATTCTCACCATCAAACTTACGACTCATCTAGTCCGACGCGGAATCATCAAGTTCAAAGTCCAGCTCTTGCGACCTCCCAACCACAACCACAACCACAAACAGCACCAACCACCCACCCACCTCCTCTATCATAGTTCCTCGCTCTCCACTTCCCGCATGCCACTTCCTCCAATCCATCCTCGCTTCACTCGCCCCCGAATCCCACGTGCTCTCTCCATTCCCTTACCCCTACCCCACGTCATCACAATTCCGGACCACGGGAGGCGAATACCTGGAGACGATTCTCACTCATCGTGCCCTGCTCAGTGCATTTCCCCCTGCACACCGAGGCTGTGCGACTGCCTTGCAGGAAATAGCAAGAGCAGTAGAAGTGAGGGCGTGGCGGGCTGATCGTGAATCAGATGCAGAGGCAGTGGCGACTCTGAGGCAGGAAGCATTCCTAACCTCCGCGTGGCTTTAAAGAGTTAATATCATTACGTGCTGCGGGTCAGCCGTGCACACTTTGAGTGCTATATATGCGTAGCACCCTTTCAGAGTAGTCGGATCAAAGACAATTATGTCCATATTGAACATTTAAACCTCTTCCAGGGCGGCCAGTATAGGTTGAGTGAGAAGCGCCGGTTTTACCTCACTTGACATGCCGAGAATTTATTGTCTGGCAACGTTGTGTGGCCGCGACCCCGTACCGAGGGAGTCGCCGTAGTGTAACTAGAAGTCAAGAGAATTGATAGTGTCAGCGTCGACATCGAGAGAGAATTTTCATACCTGCTGGGGCTGTCCTTGAGTGTAAGTGTCACGCGGGTGCGAGGAAGTTACGTAAGTACTGCTTACATAACGAGCAAGAGGGCGATGGTCAAGCAGAGAGAAGAGGAGAACTAATAGACTCGTGACCAGTCTGACGTACGTCACATGAGAGTGGGGAATTTTTGACGTAGTCAGACTGGTCGATCTCGGAGAAATTTGGCAGGCGAAGCACGGAGTTCGAATTTTAGCAGGTGCCGATTGTGCCGGGTGTCGTCATTGTACAGACACTATACTGTTTTGCTACATCTCTATGTTATGACCATGAGTTTCAACGTTCAACATTGGTTCTCCATCTCGGTGCTAACCTCGTCAGTAACTAGCGCAATGTGTAACAGGAGGTCCACCACTGTCATCCGCATGCTACGGAGTATTTTTAGCAAGGATATAATCTTTTCCTCCTTGCTGAGGCTGCGAGGGTCCACTGTCCATGCTAAAGATTCCGGTGGCAGGGCATACTGCAGTGGGGGACGCCTGCCAAATCTCTCCGAGATCGACCAGCCTGGCTACGCCACTCAACTTGTCCGTGGTTATATAAGCCAGGCTGGTCCCGAGCCTAGAGAACTAACCTAACTAACAATCACCAAATAACCCATTCTAATTCAAGGCCATGCCTTCCATGACTAGTAGGGAGTCAATGATCATGCCCAGACAGGTCACTGCGTGATTCTATTGGTCAAACTACTGAACAACGGTTATGATTCAGGAAGGTAAGCGCACAGCCTCTTCAAGGTCCTCTCCCAGGTCTCAGTAGCCGTGAGCGCGTGGAATAAATCATATTCGCCTGTCTTTTTCTCTTCTTTCTCTTCCTCAGCGTCCGTGCGTATGCCTTTCCTTGCTTTACGTGCCCGGGCAATTTTGTTCTTCACTTGACGATGTTTATCGTCTTCGAGCACTTCCAAAGAGTCCTCCACCAACTTCCAAATCTGGGGATCCATCCAGTCCCGCTCGAAATGCACAAAACGATCCAGAAACGTTCTCTTCTTCTCGCCACATGTCACAGGGTCTACAGTTGCCCATTCGTCGAGGAGGTGAGATGACGCGGCCAGCAGAACTCCATTCTCGTAGCGAAGACAAACCCACACGAGAACCCACACGAATGACTCCAAATCATGACGATACAAGTGTGCAACTTCGCCTCGTTGACCCTCAGGGGTGAGGAGATCAAGCGCCATGAACGGCACTGTGCCCGTGCGCTCATTGCCCATAGGACCCGCGTTAATCTTTAACGACGATAGATCGTAGTCATTTAAGACCCCTGATCCAGCGTCCGTCTTTCTTGTAGCACATCAGATTGCCAGGACTGACATCCAAATGATAGACTCCTCCCTTCCAGAGAGCAATGTGGCCTGAACACGCTATTTCAGTGGAGAGTCTCATAAAATGCGACGAGCCACATACATAAGATACATTGCTGCCAAACATCGAACAATTCTATGCCATAGAGCGCCGTGATGGGGTCGAGCTTGCGGAACACGAGAATGTAAAGCACGCGGCTACCCTTCTTCGCTTCTGGAATCCCAAGCGCTTCTCGTACTGCGCGGGTCAGATTGGGGAACCTGCAGTACCAAAGCAGCTGAGGAACATGGCCCTCCACGTCCGATTCCTTTGCGGCAATCTCGTCAACCTTTTTCAAGATTTCCGGCTCGCTAATGCGGTCCTCTTCTGCCCAAAAATTTTTGGCCACCATCCTATCTTTCTTGATATCTGGAAATTCTGCGGAGAGCTTTTCGCTAGTGACAGGGAACACGTTGGTTGCGCGTCCTTTTAACCCGTAGTGAGTCACTCTCTCTTTGGAGCTGGTGTGAATCACGAGATCCACGCCACCAAGGTCGGCTTTGTGCACGCCATCTTTTACAACCACGCCATCAAGTGTGGTTTTGTGCACGCCCTCCTCCACAACTTCCTCGAATTGCGTGTTCCGACCCCAGTCGCCAAGGTTGAAACGTTGTAACGCGTATAACAGCACCATGAATCGGGGGAGATCCTTCATGAAGTTGATGCCCGAGCTTTGAATAATCCCCTGTCGATCATAATACCAGATCCAGACGATGTTATCTACAGAAGCAAACGTAAGAACGCAAGCATTGGACGAACGAAACAAAACACACCGACGATGATCAGATTGAGGAGGTGAGTGACTGCAATATTTGCTGCAAACATTTCAGCAGCGTAGAGTGCTGTCTGGACAGTCACATCTAGCGGGCGGTCCGCGTCCGTGTTGGTGGTCTTGGCTCGCTTGGCGGCGGATTCCTCATCATCCTCAGCCTTGCGCTTGGAGCTTCCGTTCGTGTTCTTGACTACATTGTCACAGTTCGAACGGCGCGGGGCTGTGCTGATTTAGTTTGAGCCCTGAATAGCTAATGCATGGCTTACGTGGAAGGTCGGGTGCAGGTTGTTCGGCTTGGATCTGCAGATCTGACACTCCAGTCGCGGGGCCGGCAGACGCCTCCCGCACGGGCACCTTCCGATATTCTGGATAGGTAGGTGTATAGTTTTCCACTTTATACGAAGCCGGGGGCCCCTCCAGCGCAAAATTTGGGGTTCTCTTGAATTCGATCGAAGCGAGCACATCTTTCCAAAAAATTCGCCCCCCTTTCGGTTTTTTTGCTGCATTCTGGACCCTGTGGTCCCAGGGTGGGTTTGCTGCATCTGAGGACGCCTCCTTCGAGCTTTTCGAAGGAAGGATGAAGACGTCGGGCATCCGTTTCGATTTCTCAGTCTGGTGCTTTTGGTATATAGGCATATCATTGCGCTGACAGATCATTTCCAGGTCGCTCGAAGTAACACGCATTCCCTCAACGGGGATCTCTTCAAGACAGGCAAGCGCGGTATTCGTCGCCTTGATGAAAGGCGCGTAGGACTTGGTTTCAATCATCGGCAACGAGCTTGCGATCATTATGAGCGCGCCATTCCCCCAAACAATGAAAGAGCACTCACTAATCCCTAAGACTTTGCGCGATGTCAGAAGATCGAAATATTTGGCCGGGGTTTTTTTCCTTAGTGGAAAATTTCCCATTGCAAACCTGTAGAACGGCATCGAGACACTCGTCCAGTAGTTCGGGCTGTGGAGTCTCCGGATCGTTAGAAGCACGCTGCAGGAGGTCTCCTAGCATCACGTCGATATTGCATGTCTTAGTTTTCTCAATGTCCCGCTCAATCCATGGGCGGATTTGATTGATCCTTGCATGAACTTCAGGTGGCAATCAAATATGACAGGAAAAAAACTCACTTGGCGCCGATCAGGCCAATGTGGTCACTGGCAGCGGAAGCCCCACGGCTGAGTGGGGTGGATTTGAGGTTAGAAACATGAGATGATTGATTAGCGCGTGGCGGAGTAGATGCCAAGTTTGGCTGGTCGGGTTGTGCTTCGCCAGGGGACATGGCAGTTAAAGTTGACTCGAGTAACGCAACTGGGTGTTAATGCTCACAGGTGGTAAAGTGAGAAAGGTGGTGGCTGTTAGAAAGAAGAACGAAGTGGGTCCCATTTATCTGATCAGCCAATGTGGCGAAAGGTAGTCGCGGAGTATGATTGCGTTGTGGACTTGTGGTGGTTGTGGTATTGGTGTAGTTGATGTTGTCCTATTTAGGGAAGGGCCAGGTGAAATTGACGCGCGCCTGCCGCGGCCGTGACGCGCCTGGAATTGATAGTGTCAGCGTCGATATCGAGAGAGAATTTTCATATCTGCTGGGGCTGTCCTCTAGCAAATGCTGTTGAGTTGCAAGTGTGACACACCCTGCAGCAGTTCTAGCACGTACTTATTCGTGTGGCTGTGTGGAACGGGAGCGAGGAAGTCCTGCTTACATAATTGGATTGATCGGCATACATTTCACAGTTAGCCGATCTCTTTCCTTGGTGAACGAGAAGGTTTGTGCAATATTAATGAGACCAAGTTGCGTCACGGTCGGTTCACCACCCAGATCAATATTGGTTTGAGATGTAGCAACTTCACAATTGCAAGGACACTCCACAAATCCAAATTTTCCCACTCTGCCACCGCCCCTGCCCATGTGATTACTGATTACTACTTTAATGCTTCGAAAGCGCTAGCGAGGTTCTATCTTGACCTCAGACCAACATCCCAAATTCGATCCTGGACGTTATCATGACAAGCGTTTTACCACCCTTTGTTCAGGCAGCATCAGGCTCACTAGGAGCAGCGAGCGCCAATGCGCTGACGTACCCACTCGATCTCATCACCACCCGCATTCAGGCCACGGAAAAGGGCACATCCATACGCAAACAAATCCATACCTATGGACTATCGTCGTTATACGACGGCATTGGGGCAGATACCAGTGCTACCTTACTTTCAAGGTCAGTAGCTTCTGCATTCTGCGTCTTAAGATGTTGTTCATAATTGAATATTGAATCAGCTTTCTGTATTACTACGTGTATTCCTTCCTGCGAGCACTCGTTGTTCGCGGAAACGGAAAATCAAAAGCAGCCATGTTGTCTCTCCCACAGGAGCTTGCAATTGGTTACCTATCAGGCATTGCTAGCAGATCCATCACGACACCTCTCAATCTCGTTACGGTGCGCTTGCAAACCGCTCGTGTGAGCGATGATTCTTCACCACAAGGAGGAACGTCACGGTTCACGGCAGTTTGCAAACAAATACTTCGGGAAGAAGGGTTGCGGGGATTCTGGAAAGGTTT